GCGGTAAGCGAAGAAAGGGATTGACGACTAGGTGTGCGGCCGTATCACTGACTTCCCCGTTCAGGCCGCCAGTCCGCGGCGCACCTTCTCTGGCACCCTATGCTTGTGCAATCCAATTTCTGGGGCCTGATTGCACGCATTTGAGCTGAAGGGACACTACGCACCTCGAGGTAAGTCTGCATGGAACACGTGATGTTAGATGCTCGTAGATCACGGCCGCAAGAGCTTCGTCCGCGTCACAGCTGATTTTTGGAGGCCCTCGCCACTCTTGGCCAACTATTCTGCGCATCTCCGCCGGCGTATTTCTGCGTGAGTGAAGATTCGCTTCGGGCGGTGATCAATCTGGGCAACTCGGGCTTTATATCATGGAATGTTCCTCGCGGTCCTATACGTGCCCCCGTGCCTCTCTCAAATCGAATCACCGATCAACTCAATCAGTCGCAGTATGCAAGCCGCACAACAGTTGAGCGGCTATCATAGACAAACTCAGGTGTGCGTATCATCGGCCCTTTCAATTCTCAATAGATACATGGACAGTCTTCTTCGTGGTCAGCATCCTCGCCCGTAAGTTGCCCGCCGGTATGTTGTCAGATCGACGAACTCCGTGCTCGCCGCGACGCACGGGCGCACTAATCACCCAACACCGTCCTGAGGTGGGCCGCTCGGCCATCGCTTGTTCCATCTGCCGCAAATCGAACCCACTTTTGCCAGTTAGAATGTTGGCTAAAGGTGCCGATCCTCGTTGGCCCACCGTTGTACCGCATTGATCGAATTCCCGCACAGAAAGGACAATCACGGTCCCAATTTCAACTGCTTCTACACATCGCAGATATCTTCTCAGTGGCTGAGCAGGGCTGAGCTACGGAAAGAACTGGCATCGACGTGGATTACTCAGGTTGGATATTGTCACGGGCGCCACGTATCTCCGTCAAACACCTTCAGGACGCGTTAAGATGTTAGTGGTTTCCTTGTCTTTTTCCTTTTCCATTTCACTTTTTTCGTTTCCGTTGATCAGCGTCGAAATGCAGGATGGCAAATATCAGTTCATACTCATCCTCCCCGTTCTGGCGCACAAACAAAGGGGACCCAATCCATTCGCAACTCCTCGCCGCCCGAAAGTCAGCATGTAATCAGTCATTTTGACCCTGTGTCCGATGGACAACTTTCCATCTAAAACTCGCATCGCTGCCCGAACCTCAGCACTGTAATCAGCCATTTACATCCGGATGCGGTGGAAACAACTGCGGATCTCTCTAATAATGCTATCATAGTGCGTCCGGTGGTCTGGCAAATTTCCAACGGCTAGCTGACACATTCGAGACGTGTCATGCATTCGTACAGTCAGCCCAAGCAGGCTCACAAAGTACCGCCCGCTCGCTGCAGTCTCGTGCCCTCCTTGGGGAACACACCCCGGCATTGTAGAAATACTGCCATTCGGATGCGCACTTTTTTTTCTCGCTGATTGTGCGTGTAGAGGTGTTCAACTTGGCGTGTTTCTCACTCTGCGGAACCAACTCCGAACTCAGAGTCGAATCATGTCAAACCGCCCCAAATGATGCAATGTTTGAAATCGTCGTTCTCACGCCGGCTAATTTCTGCGAGGCAGGTGAGCATCCCCTATGGAAGGCCCCAAAATCTGAATCAATCCACCCTTAAACATTCAGTCGGGGGCCAAATTCATTTCTCAAATGTTTAAGCAGCGCGAAGCTGATGCTCGGCCATAATGGACTCGGTTAACGCGGATCTTTGCTTCCTCAGGTCGCACGGTGGAGCGGCCTCCCGCCCAGTCCAAAGCGGATGCTTTTCCCACTAAATAAATCCAACCACTGCAAGTTAACTGTGCGTCATTAGCCAAAACCTCCTCAAACCAGCGCACAGTTTTTCTGTGTACTTGATTAACGTTACTCGGACCTTGGCTGAGTTCGAGCACCCACGACATGCTGCCATGGACATACCGGAGATCGTCCCGCTTCCGTTCCACTTCCGTCCTATTCTTGTGTTAACTGTGACATTGTGAATTTGACAGACAATTTCCTCGACACACTGTTGAAAGCCTCTCAAACCGCATAGACAAGGGGCTGAAAGACGTGAGCGGCAATTAACTCCAAATCAGGCCGTTATTTTCCAGGCCAGTGGATGATCATCGGCATTTCCCCGCCTTCCCGCCGCAGAAGCTTCGCAAAGTCAAAGGTTGAACTCTGTTGGACGGCAAACGACCGCGGTGCGCGCAGGACGGACGAAGCGCACGGGAACTAGTTGGTTTGCCGCCGTGGAGCCTCATGTGCCTGGATGGGGCCATCCGGGGACGACGTTCGACGCCTCATATCCATTTGGAAGGCGACGCAAATCGACCGATTCGGCGGCAGTCAATCTGACGTGAGGCCCGCGGCACGCTATCGAGATCTCGCCAGCGCGCAGATCAAGGCTGTGAGTCAACTTCCCTTCGTCCACTACATAATCTCAATGAACACCCATTCCTCCCCGCTTCAATCCCCACTCCCCCAATTCACTTCCCTGTCGGGCTTTATTTGCGAGTCACTCCCAATCACTTTGAGCCACATACACCATGGCTTCCACCTCAAGCCGTCCCACTATCGTGCTGCCCAGTATCCATGAGATGTTCCCCGAGCATCTCATGTCGCGATCAGCAGCCTGCTCGCCACCGCGCGCCCCTCCCCCGCCTAGCCCGCCCTGTACTTTCCCACGCGGCTACTATGTGCCGCAGCCCGCCCCGCGAGGCCCAGACCCCAGCTTCTCCTTTGACGTGCTCAAAAGCGACCCACGCGGCTCCTCGCTGCAGCATATCGCCTCTAGCCGCCCAAAACTACCGCCGGTCCGTACGCAGCCGCAGCATCGGCCCACTACCCGGCCACCCTCGTCTTCAGGCTCGGGTTCGTCTGATGAAGACGTGGAGATGGAGGACGGCGAGGACGGCGAAGATGGAGATGGAACTGGTGCCGAGGATGCGAAGCGGCATGTGTGCTCGACGTGTGGGAAGCGGTTCAACCGGCCAAGCAGCTTGCGGATTCATCGCAACACACACACGGGTGCTACACGTGAGTGTCGTTTTATATTCATCCGTTCATTCCATTCCCAATTTGTTCCATCTTGGATTTCAACCAATGCTGATTCCTTCCTAGCCTTCCGATGCCCATGGCCCTCGTGTGGCCGTGCATTCAACGTGAACTCAAATATGCGCCGACACTTTCGCAACCACACCAGCTCCGCCTTTGGCGCGAGTAATTACTCGTCCTCGAGTGCCGCATCGCCTGTTTCCCCCATCTCTCCAGCGTCCATCAGCCCCTCGTCCAGCTCATACGCAGCTTCGCCGACTCAGTACTCACCATCAACGCCATTTTCTCCGCAATCATCCGCGCATGAGCACCGATGGACGGTGCCACAGACGGGCTATCGAGATGCGCAGGGATACTGCGAGAGCGACGTGCGGAGCCAGCGGCGGTAGGATGGTAATCTCATTGGTCATTCTCTTTACCTCTCTCCTGATGAGAATCCAACACAGTGCACCTCGTGTGCGCAGCTGTATCGCCGTCTCGTTCTAGGAGATCTGTTTATCGAGTCCGGGACTCATTTTCCACTCTGTATCGCGCCGTTGTATCGTGTACCTATTGTAGCTCAATACTAGCTCAATACTGCTGAGAACGAACATGCACACCGCGACCTTGTTCGCATGCCCCTCCTCCGAGCCAAGTTGAGGATCTTTCGGCCCACGACATTCAACATTTTGTCCGCACAGCCGATCTACGAACTCACCGCTGACTTCGAAGGACACCGCTATCACGGGGGATTTCCGTTCTTATGTTTAGTCAGGCATATGATATAGTAGAGGATAAGTAACAACAAACGAACTTGCGGATCGCCGAGGTATACATCGCGATCGCCTTCAAACTCTAGACAATCGGTGACCGCCCGGGCAATTCTTCTGTCCGTGATTATCGTCGTCTAGGCATGCCGAACACCCGCGTTTGTTCAGATTAACGGGAAACACATCAAAGAAGTTGTGGGTGTAGATGTAGATCATGAATAGTACACGAACGTCCGTTTATCCGTCATAAGGAGCGCCCAGGACCGAGGTAGCCCGGAACACGATTTGCATAGCCTCGGGGGACGTGGTCTGGAATGCCACTGTATCAGGATTCGGGCGACGATTCTCAAACCAATACTTGATTGACTTGGTCCTGACTTGATCGATTTGGTCCTAATTGCCTCAACGCAAGTGATGACCGGGCAGAGCAATACGACCGAGGCGAATGGCAGGTGTGAATAGTGTTCACGTCCTGTCGAAACCCCCATCCATGGTAAAGTCCTTGTCGAGGAAACTGAGTAACAGCACACGGAGACTCGACGGTTCGAATCCACCCGGGGAATTGTTCTCGACTCGGACATAGTGGAATCTTTTGGGCAAAAAAAATCTTGCCATTGTCAAGCCTGATTCCCTCACTGCGTCCCCCGTTTGTAAAGGTCTAACAGCATTCCGCACTCCTAAATTCCGGCCACCCGAAGCTAAGTAGCAAAGTATCAATAATGGTGGTGAAGCTGTTTCTTTCTTTGTTTTGCGGCACTGGTTGCGACCTGGATGAGTAAGCCAGCGTATGTGCAGAGCAGAGACCTCAAGTCCTCGTTGAGCGGCGTGCTCACCCGCAGCCGCATGCAAATCCGCCAAGAGACGGTCCATTGCGGGAGAATCGGTGGTTCGACTCCACCCGAGGTCATTAGACGGCAAGCTGGTTCTTTTGCGTTGGTATATGGCGGAAGGCTTACACGCCGATGGAAGCTGCTTGTACTATTGCCTCGCAACGCAAAGCTTGAGAGTCGAGACACGGCGCACGCCTTCGAACAAGGTGAGGATGAAGTAAAATCAGACCTATAAAGGGGTGGGTTGAGTGCGTTCAGTTGTTCCGGCAAGAGTAAAGAACTGAGGCCTTATGCTGGGAACTTGGTAGACGAAGGGGGTTGTTTGAGCTATAAATGGCAAAAGCATAGGCCCTAACCCGGAATTGAACCGGGGACCTCCTCGAAGTGGTTGAGCAACCCTAACAAGGAATCATACTACTAGACCATCAGGGCGACGGTAGAGCTCACTAAGCCACGTTCACGTTGCGCACACGTACGGTGCCCCGTGCCGGCTCGTGTCCGGAGTCAAACTCCTTCCAGCTTTGATTCACGGCAAAGACCCAGTGTTGTTGAACAGTCGGCGGCTCTATCCCACGCGAGGGCATAGGCACGATGCCTTGTTTCTGAATTCAGCTCCGATATACTTGTATCTTCCAGACTTACTTTCGCGGCGTGCAACCAATTCCTCGAAGCTCGTCTCCATTTTAGTCAAACAGAAACAAATGCTCTTATGCGAGCGGGGGTTGAGTTGCGTAGCTCGGGCTGGAACAGAGCAGACTCTGACAAGTCCTCGTGGGATACGAAACGATCCCAGCGGTTTGTGAGAGAGTGGGCGCTTCAATCCCGCCCGAGAACATAACTTCGCCCAATGGAGGTTTCTTTTGCTCTGGCGGAGACTGACTCGAGGAGAGCATGGAATTGGAAACAGCCATCCTTTCACAGCGCTGGCCGTACAGGGATCTGCTGCACATTGAGGCAGGATCCAATGAAGTTGGCATCGCCTCAACATCCCGAGTCGGAGTCGAACGGAGGCCCTCCTGGCCAGCACACAGTAGAGTCTACCAGGTCCTGCAAGGCACGGACCCATAGGAAGGGGTAGCGTTGAACAGGCGTGAATGAACTTACTTCGGATTCATCACACGGCTCAGAGTGCAGACCGCCCTGGGATGCAGAATATCGTATGTCGCCATGCGGCTACGGTGGTGACAAACCCTGGACGAATCGACAAAAAAAAGGAAATCTTCTGGGATCACCCCACGCCCCGATCCCACGCGGACCATCCGCCATCGGGGCATGTTAAGTATGTTCTGTGGGTCTGGAAGCGAATTTGATTTAAAGAGCAAGAGAAGGAACGGGGCTCAGTCACACGTGAGTGCGGTCGAGCCAGTATTGCAACGCGGCGTACTGGTGTGAATGAGTCTCGAAGATGTGGGTATTGACCGAAGGGGTAGAACAGAGAAAGGAGGAGAAGCGCTTGTCCGGGTACTTCAAGGGGGAGTTTGGGCTGAGGGCGGGGAAGGAGGGCGGGGACGTGCCACAGAAGACACGCAGCAACAGGCAGCGGCGCGCTAGCGTAGCGATGGAGGGGTGCAGAGAGAGCACGAGCTAACGGGGGCTAAGACAGGGGCATAAAGCAGGACAGGAGGGGGGTAGACATCTTGGCAGGATGAGCGTATCGATGAGCGCACGGAGGGACGTCACCGAAACCGGCAGCGCAGCAGCTCGAGAGGTTTCGAGTGCCGTTCTTTATACTGAAACAGTGAAATGGTGTCAGAATCGGATGCGGTAAGTGTCGAAGTACGCGGCGGGAATGTCTGAGTGCACTCTGTTCAGAGAAAAGCGCAAATAAAAGAGAAAGAAGGCACGCACCAAGGAGCCCGACAATGTACCCCCTCGACGGCCTCGGAACGTTCTCTTCCTCTGTTTATTCAAATGCCCTGCCACAAGATGGACCGGACGGACAAAGAACCGACGAGCAAGCCGACGACTTGCTGTTGACTTGCTGGGTCTTGCTTGGAGTTCGAGAGAAACGCAGAAAGATATCCGGTCCGCAGTCCACGAGTCACGAATCCGTGGTGAGTCGCGTCGTTCAGATAAAAGCGAAACTAGAGCTCCAGAGACATGCGATGGATGGTGGCGACCCGGCGACGTGGAAGGAAGAAACAAGCCGCGCAAAGTTTGTGCATGATGTGCAGAGGCGGCGAAAGCAAACAAGCGCCCCTGCCAGTGGCTCCCGAGTCCCGACCCAATCCCGACCCTCATCTCGTCCACTTCCAAGTCTCCGCCGCGAAGCTCTCACTCTCACTGAAATATCACCTGCCAGTCTACTAATCAACGTTAATCAACCTCAGCGTTCTCCGCCTGAAAATTCAGCGCGCGCCGCCCAGCTGCCGCCGGCCGTCCACTGTCCAGTCGACCTTTCCCTGCCCGGCTCAGCCTCTAATTCAACACCTCTGCAACGTTTCCACACAATGACAGGGCCTACCTGTGAATCACGGCTCGTTCGACTCGAGCTACGTATTTTTTTCTCGACTGTTCCTGTCCCTGCACCGGCATGCGGGGCAGCAACTTGAAGCGCAGCCTGAGGTGCGAACTTATGCTCTATGCACAAACACACACCCATTCATACCTCGGGTTAAAACTCAGCGCCGCCGATGCGATGGGCCTTCAGCGGCAGGCTCATTCAGTTGGGTGGAGCAAGAATGGTAGCCCACTACAGTCTACCAGTAATCAACACTCCATCGCCGGGGGAGGGCTGGTTCGAATTTGCCCGAGGACATGAACGCATTCGCATATCTGTCCCCGTTTGTTATATTCCCGCCCTTTCCCGAGTCGTCCAGAATACCCTACACTACATGTTTTAGTGCGCCCCCTTTTCTGTGCTTCCTTCCCCCTTTCTGCAACTGGCACAAGCTGAATCGCTCGCGTTGCAGCTGAAGTCTTCTGCACATACACAATCCACAGCATGGCAAGTACGTCGCATAATCTGTCGCATCTATTGTGGCTGAACAAAGCAAAACCAAGTCCTTGTAAAATGCGAAGCTCACTCCCACTCAGTTCATGCTCGTCGTTCTGTTTTTACTGCCTCAACCTTTGAAACGCACGTTTCTCATGCGACAACGGCGTCAGGCTGAGAATTAATTTCTGAGTACCGAGTGTCAATTTTTCTGTGCCTGCGCGTTTCGCAATGGTTGCGTGTGCTTCACCCCGGCCTCTTGCTCCCTTACACCCCAGTAAGGGATCCTCATCTGTGCTCCCACCTCCCACTGGCTCCTTTTTTTCGGCCCTTGTCGCCGAATGCCCGCCCACAGCCTGAGACCCTGGCGCTCAACGTGTTCTGCCTCTTAACCCCCGCCCTTCGCTCAAGATACATTAACCACGACAAACCATACAGATGTTACTCCTCTGGTCCGAAGTATAGAAAACAAGACTAGCTGGCGGACGGCCGCTATCTATTGCCCGCTGTCTCTGCGCAGTTACGGTGCACGCGTTCAACTTCTCTGTCATAGTGTCTTGGTGCGTGCCCCGTTCGATAGCCCAAATAACCTGAATACTGCATTATAATTACCTCTGCGCATTCTTGCACCGGGGGGCATCGTTAATAGCAACAAGTCCCGACAGCGGATGGCTGCGCCTCTGCTGCATAGTAAAGCTACAAGGCTCTCGATCAGGAGCGACCCCGCTCCATTCGGGATCGGGGTATAGATACTTGTCAAGGGTATGTTGTTTTTTTGTCCCTTCCCCTCCTTTCGCGCTGACGTGTTTTCTACTCACGACCATACCAGGAAAGGTGAATTGACTGCCTTGACCGCAGCTCTGAAGGGGCTGTTGATACACCCTGTTTCGAGGCGCCGTCGCACAAGTCCTCGAGGAGCACGGAAGCCCCTCCGAGCCGGCTTCATCGCCTTTGCGACTGAGGAGATGGAGGTTCGACCCGGGGACTTAAGCAGACTGTAGTTTCTTTTGTTGCCACAGACCTTTTCCTCGCTTCTCTTTGTGTGCGTCTCCCTGGTTCAAGCCTCCCACAGACCCCGTAGATTGATTATGGCCGTGCTGGAATCAGGACCGGAATGCCAGCGGTTGACTTTAAACTCGTGTTGGGAACTTTGGGCTCGTTCAACGTTCAACCTTCGGCCTGTACGGCAGTGAGATGGATGGAAATCACTCCAATTATTGACACCAGGCTGAAGCAACTCCCTTGGTCTGGATGCGGTCGAGAAGAATTCTTCGTGTTCAATCTTCAATTCTCTGGGCGCAGGCGCCGGTGCCGGCATCAGGGCACGGTGTCAATCAGTGGCGATGCTCTTCTCCTGCTCCTTGCCTCAAGGGGGAATCAACTCCCGAAATTCGGATATCCGGTCGGAAAGTTTTTTAAGCCTCAATCCTAGGCCCCCCCCCCCCAGGCCAGCCTATATGAGGAAATGATTTCCCACGGCTAACGCGGCAATCAAATGTTTGGTTCAGTTATTTTGCTAGGAATTCTTGCCGTTTGGTCGAACTCCATCGAAACTGGTTCAATTGCTATATATACAGTGAGCAATAGCTATAGTAGATGATAGAATTCTTTCTAGATGCACTGTCTGCATGAACAACTGAACGTGAAGATGTTCCGGACTTCAATCCGAATTGGGTAGTTGCGATCAAAATTTCGGAAATCCTCCCTTATATTTCTGAAAAAAATGTTCGAGGTGTTTTTACAGCGTTTCAGCGAGTTTAGAAACTATTTTGAAATGAGGGTCAAAAAGTTTTTTAAGCTCTCCGAGGGGACCCCCCCCCTCCAACCCGGTGTCCGAAATTTGACCGTTGATTCCCCCTTGCCTTGCCTTCATCCTTGATTCCTTCCTCATCGTCTTCGCCGTCCCTGACATTCCTTGTGTCTGGAACTGCGGCCATTCCCTGTTTTACGGTACCCAACATGGGATTCTCACTCAATCATGACTCTCGACTCCAACTAACCCGCGACGCACCCGACGCCCAAGAATCAAGATTCAAGATTGGTCTGAGGGCTCGAAGTCAATAGGGCCAACCTGGAATGCCTGACGTTGGCTGCTACGATAACGAGAACCGCTGGATATTGGCGCTGGATCCGTGCCACACACCCTCTCGATGCATTGTCGCTGCCATATTCGGGAGCACTCTCACCGTCTCAGGTCTGCGCCACACGCCCCTTCTCGTCCCACCGATCCCTTCGTGTGGCGTTCGATTACCTCGTCCCTCGTAACGAATCCTCAGCTGCGCGCTCCTAACTCGCTCTCCCTCCACTTTGTCTTCCCCGACGGCCTCACGCTCAATCCGCTATTGCCCTTATTTTGAACTGCACGCCCGCACTCTGGCAGAAAAAAAAAGTGTACTGTAAAAAACGAGTCTCTCAGCATTTCCCCGCCTCTCTCTTCCCATTCTTCGCTTCGTTGTGTGTTTCATTGCGTGTTGACTGTATATGTATGATAAGTCGA